TATACATATATATATATAATATATATAAATATATAATATATATAAATATATAAAAAATTGATGTGGGTACTCAAATGAAAGCTCTTGATGAGTGCAACATCAGGATGAGCTTATATCTTTAAAAATGTCAATATTTCACAAGATACAAGATAATTTTTCTAAACTCCAAAAAATTATAACTTAACTGTTAAATCACAATCTAATAGAACGAATCAAACCCTGGAATTTTAATAATTCTATTCGTCGCGTTCCACTTATTTCTTGTCTCAACGCAGCGATTATCATACCACAAAGGATTAATAATAGCCCATACATTTTTCGATGAATCCATTCGATAATCAGTTATGCTGAGTACGTGTTCGCTCTGCAGAAGAATTAAATGGTTCTCCGCCTGTAACATTAATTTATCACATCATTACCAAGTATGGTATATAATAACCCAACAACAAGTTATTAAGAATAGATAAATAAAAACAATTGAGTATAATAAAACGTGAATAAGGTTCCGTTGCAGAAACACGTATTCTCAAGGTAACCACTACATAAGTAAAGCTATTGGAAACTGGACTAATATAACATTAAATGATTCTTATTCTCATAGTCAGCAACTTATTCTCTCTATTTTTTTTTTTTTTTTTTTTTTTTTACACACATACAAACAGTAAAAGAGAGTAAATAAATAATTATATTACGTACTTTCAAATTGTATTTAGTATCCCAGCGTACGCTCGCGTGTTCAGATACAAGGAAGTATTGTAATCCGTCCTTGGAATCACAAAGCAGCCCGGTTGAAGTGCCTAATTTTATCCCGTGCCACAATATGTCCGAGTATTCGACCGATAATCGATCTTTATGGCGTAATTTATCGAGATCAATCGAAAAAAGATCAAGGGAATTTGTTCCTGTTATGTAAAGGCGTTTATTTTTTCTCGATATTGCTAAATCGTTTGTATAAACACGTGGAAATGTTGGTCCATGCTTCAAATGGAGTTTCCACCACTTCCGCTGTCCTGTGAGACCTAGATATAAGATACAGCATGTAATGTCAGTATAAGTATATATATATATATATATTTATATATCATTATTCAATTTACTTATGTTAGAAAAATATATCCACGCATTACCGGTATCGAAAATAATAATCGATTCATCGCCAGGATCTCCAATGTAACCTCGATGTCCCCATAGACCAATCACCGGGTCTACCGTCAAACACTTGAGATTTTTTCGAGGTACGCCTAAGAGATTTTCGCGGGATATTTCTTCATTGTGATGCAAGTCGTAGATAATTATTTTTGCAGGGCACTCCATGTCTTCGGGGGAGTCCAGTACCCAGAGGCGTCCCCGATTATCTATGTCTAATGCTGTAACTGATAGCAAGTTTGTGCAATCCTTGCCTAAAGATTGCAGTTCCGGACTCAAATACGCTGTCGCTGGTGGAGATGGAATATTCATGAGCGATAATACTTCTGGCTCGATCCACGGCGCTTCTAAGAGTGTCACCGAGTTGTTTGACCATTTTGACCATCTGAAATTATTTCAATATTTAATTATCTCACTGAAAATTTATTAAATTGTCTGAATATTAGCAAAAGCTTTTTTACGGTAAATTCGTAACTACTATTATTATTACTAGCAACTTTGTAGTCACTAATGTGACTTTCGTAACGTGAAATATAAATAAATAAAATTTTGCTTTATTGAATAATGAATTTTATTAAAATGCACTGTACTTTCTTAAATATTAATGTTTTTTTAAGATATAAGCTCATCCCGATGTTACACTCATCAAGAGCTTTCATTTGAGTACCCACATGCATTTTTGATATATTTTTCATATATACATATATATTATATAATATATATATATATATAAATATATGAAAAAATGATGTGGGTACTCAAATGAAAGGTTTTGATGAATGTAACATCAGGATGAGCTTATATCTTCAAAAATGTCAGTAGTTGATAAGATACAATGTAATTTCTTAATTATTAACATTTTTTAAGATATAAACTGATTTTGATGTTACACTAATTGAGACCTTTCATTTGAGTACCCACATAGCATTTTTGATATATATTTTATATATATGGTATTCTTGAAATATATAAATATATAAAATATATGAAAAATTGATGTGGGCACTCAAATGAAAGGTCTCGATGAGTGGAATGTCGGGGTGAGCTTATATCTTTAAAAATGTCAGTAGTTCACAAGATACAAGGTTATTTCTTAATTATGTATCTAAAGATAGAGCATTTTCGAACGCAGCCTAAATACTTATCATAATAAATTTACTATCGGTGAAAATGAAATGAAACCTTTAAAAGGTGCAAATTTAAGTCAAGACCTTTACAACGACACTAAATTTCACTAAAAAAACCAATTTTATCATATGACTATCCTGGAAACAAAATTTTTCTTATTTATTTTTTACCTTGGAGCAGCCAGGAACACTCGGTTCTTCCAAATAGCAAATCGAGAAATGAAAACATCGTTCGGTAAATTAACTTTTGAAAAGTTCCAACCCACAGAACGAGAAATATAAAAAACTACAAGAATAAAAGTAATATTTATAATTAATACCATTGTTACTCGCATGAGTGATTAATAAGACTACTTTAGCTTGTAAGTTTAAATTTAAACTGGTAATGAAAGGTATTAATCTTATTATTCATCGTCAGCGAAAAAAAATTGCTTCGATAAATATATTGCTCAAGAAAAAGTATATCGAGCACCTCGGTGATTGCAAATTTAAAAAAATATATATTTAAGTACCACTAATTGTTGATTATATGAAAATTTTTTATAACTTTTATAGACCTCGTAAATTTATTCATTAACACATCTATAATTATCCTGTTTTATAAATTTTTTTTTTATCAAATCATTGATCTTATAAATCATTTTTAATAAATGTAGACGTTGTATACCTGATCTTGCGATAAGAAGATAAATAACATTTATGTCTTGAGTAATTTAATTATAAAAAATGAATTTTGTATAGATTAATTCACACTAGCCTCCAGTTAAATTGGTAATTACATTTAAAAATTTTAATGTTATATTCTTCACCATGTTTTGAAATTATAATTTCATAATTAAGGGGGTATCCTCGTTAAGAAATTTTTTTACACATTTTTTTTTACATATTTTCATAGTATTCTTATAACCTTATAAGAATATATGTCCCTAAAAGAATTTTTCCGAATTTAAATTATTTTTGGAGTGAGTATAACAATTACTTTTTTAAAAACGGTGTGCATAATATCTCAAGTTCTACATAACCGATTCACTTAAAATTTTACACAGAGTTTCTTTGTACATTATAGTATCGCACTACAGAGCGTTTTTGAGTAAAAAAATTTTTTTTATATTTTTAAAAAATTCCAAAAGGCAGAAAGACCGGGAAAAAAACAAAACATATTTTTTGAAATTTGATTTTTTTTTTAATTTTATTAATGTTTTATAATTTTTAAATTGATGATTAAATTAATTAAAAAATCTTTGAATATCTCAGAAACTCTTAAACCGTAGTTACAGTGGCAAAACCTATTAGTCATCACAACTATCTAACGATAACTGCTTCAATACTATTCAGATATAATAGCAGTATTCACTATCGGTATTGCTGCAATAACTGAAGTGTTTCGATGATTTGCAATCGACTTGTTTTATTTATGATAAATAAAAAAAAAAAAAAAAAAATTTTAACCGGAGAATTATAAGCGAAGAAATAGTTTTTCCTCACAAGTAGCATCATACGGTGAAGATTATTATGTATACATTTAAATACAATATAATGGAGGGATAACAATTAATTTATGTGAAAAACGAGTATTTGTAAGCATACGGTCACAACGTATTGACAATATAAGTGTTATCGGAAGTATAGTACTGCATTCGTGGCTAATTATTCGATTAGTTTTAGATACTGAGCTAAAATATTCTATTTATAACAAGTTACTTGTTTTACGAAAAGTTTTTACAAATAAATATTATAGTAGCAGTGTTGAGAATTTTTTTTACAATGAAAACTCCAAGAGTGGAAGAAAAAGTTATTGAAGAAGCTTTGAACCAAACGGGTAAGAATATTTTTCTACTAAATCTGATTTATTTAATTTTATTGTTATTGATAATATTATTATTATTACAATTCAAGGTTTCGGCAAGTTCAATTACAAAGTATTAATAGTTGCGATAATAATAACAATAAATTCCGGAATAAGTTTTGAAAATATAAGTCTGATAATGCCAGCAGCAAGTTGTGATTACAAAATGTCAACGATTGCACAAGATCATATTGCAACTAGTTCACTGTGTGGTAAATAATGAAATCTTGTAGTTAACGATTAAAAAAAAAATTGCAATTTTTTTTTTTATAATTAATAATCATTTATAGTTGTATTGATATATTTAAGGACTGGCACTCGGGACTTATTTCTGGGCGTTGATCGCAGAAATTAAGGGTCGGAAGTTAAGTCTGATTGTTGGATTACTATTAGACGGCGGCGCTAATGTTATTGCTTCTGTTATTTCTAATTACTATGGATTTATTATTTGTAAATTTTTTAACGGCGTCGGGTAAGTTTGTTAGTAATAAATTTTTCTTCTAATTCCAATGAAAAAAAATTGTTTTTGTAAATGAATTGTCTGCTGCAAAATTTGTAACTTTTTTTAAATTAGTCAAGGTCCACAATTTACAGTACTCTTTACTTACCTCGCGGAATTTTCACCGGAAAAATACCGAGACAAATTACTTTCCTGGTTGGAGTTACCAGTTATTTTAGGAGCAATTATATGTGCAGGTAATACAAATTTTTTGAACAATTATCAAGACTTTGCTTTCTAAAAAGTTTTTCTAAAATAAAAATTAAGTATTAAATAATCAATAGTCAAAACATTTTTATAATAATAATGTGTTTTTATTTAGCAATTTTGTTACATTAAAAAATCATAAAGAAACATTACAATCAATTATACATTTATATACATATCAACAATAAATAGCTTACATAACTATACATTAGGGTGGCGCAAAAAAACCGACTATTTTTTTTTTTTCTTGAGTCTCGAGTGAAAAAATGTCAGTTTTTGATGTTTTAAGAGCCCTCTCCAAAGAACGGCTCAAAAAAAAATTTTTAAGAGGTCGCTCCAAATTTTTTTAAATTTCAAAAATCGAAATTATTTTTTTTTTTATTTTTTTTCTCGTTACGTCATAATTTTATCGACCAAAAAAAAAATAAGTTTCTGAAAGTTTCAATTCAAAATTTAAATTTTGAAAGGTCGCTCATAATTTTTTTTAAATTACAGAGTCAAAAAATGCTAATCCAATTAAATAGTCACTAATAAATTAAAAAAAAATTATGAGCGACCTTTTAAAATTCACATTTTGAACTGAAACTTTCAGGAAAACTTTTTTTTTTGGTCTATAAAATTATGACGTAACGAGAAAAAAAATTAAAAAAAGAAAAAAATTCGATTTTTGACGATTTTATAAATTAAAAAAAATTTGGAGCTGCCTCTTAAAAATTTTTTTTAAAGCTTTCCTTTGGAGAGAGCTCTTAAAATATAAAAAACTAACATTTTTTCACTCGAGACTCAAAAAAAAAATAGTCGGTTTTTTTGCGCCACCCTACTATACATAGTTTAATATAATCTTTTAATTCTCTTTTAAAACTTATCAATATTTTTTCATTTTTAACGTTTGGCGGCAAATTATTATACCAGTCATATCCTTTGTAAATAATAGTCTTTTCTGCTGTTTGTGTTTTTGTACAAGTATACAGTATTAATACAATTACAATAATAGTTGTAGATTGATTAGCGTAAATAACAATAAAGTAAGGTTTTGAAATTACTCATCACAGCAGTTATTCAATGAATCAATAAACACTTGAATAGATAATTAAACTATCAATTATTTTAATTTTTTTCTAAAAAGGTATCGGCTGGCTTATAATTCCAATGGAATTTACCTACATAACTTCAAATATTTTTTTCTTCAACCCTTGGAACTTGTATAACTTGGTTTGTTCAATGGTAGCGCTTTTATCAGCATTTTTGGTGACATTTCTGCCAGAAACTCCAAAGTATCTCGCGGAAACTGGACAGTATACAAAATTGATGGACGTCCTTTCACGAATGTTCAGAGAAAATACTGGAGGAACAGATAAGGAATACATCGTAATGATGACAGATTTCTGTTTCTTTTCTATTAAGATTTTTTGATATTTTCTGAACTAATTTTTACAGGAACGCTTGAAAAAATTGCAACTCCCAGAGGTTAATGACTTGCTAGTAAAAGTAAAATCATCGACGAACGAATGCAAAGATAAATCAAGTTTCGTAAAATCGTTCCTCAAGTTCATTAAGCAAGTAAAAGAAATAATGAAGCCACCTTATCTGAATAGAACATTAATTGTCTGTGTAGCAATGTATGGAACTACGTACTCTATTTTTGTAGTTATGTTGTGGACTCCAGAAATTTTTGACAGGTTTGCAATCTTTGAAGAAAAATATCCGAATATGAGTGCAAGTATTTGCGTTATTTCAGAAAAACTTTATTCAAAAGATGCAACACAGGTATCAAAAACAAATTCATTGATATTAATATATATTCAATGTTTAATACACAGGAAAAAAAAATTTATTTGAATCAAGTAAATAATTTTGAAGAACTTGATCTTCTTGATTTGAGTAGAAAGATTCTTAAACTAAGAAATTTTTCTTGGCTTAGGTAAAGTTTTACTTGATTCAAAAATTTTTCGTCTTGATTTAAATAAAATTTTTTTTCAGTGTAAGTATTATAAAGATTTTTATTTTTTAGGATAATGTTTTCAACCCTGAAAACTGTCCGTCTAAATTAGACTCGACTGTTTTCTCACACACTATAATATTAAGCCTCGCAGCTCTTCCAGGTGGATTATGGTTACCCCTGTTCATTGACAAGTTTGGATACAAATTCAACTTTAGTGAGTTAAATTACAAATTGATCCCTGATTAAAACTAAATAATCACAAAATTTTTATTATAAATATCAAATTTAAAGTTCTAGCTTCAGTGATGTCTTGTTTATTGTATATAGGACTATTATTTGTCCGAAATTCATCCCAAAATCTTATCCTTACATGTCTGATCGACGCACTGTCATTTGGAGATAGTGTTATTTATTATATGCTAGTCAATTTATATCCAACGCATCTCAGGTTTTTTATTTTTCACATCAGAATTATTACTTTCGAGTCAAAACAATAATTATCGATGTCTTTCTTCTTTTTAGGGTTATTGCGGCGAATTTGGTTGCTTTTGTTGGACATGTTGGAGGAATGCTAAGCATTATTGTGGTTGGCTATTTAATAGATGATTATTGCGTACTGCTAATCGTAATGATAAGTGTCCATGTTGGAGGTAAATTTATGAATAATTTATAAATAATTATATTACTACAGAATTATAAAAATGTAAAAAGACTTGTGGAATTTTTAAGTTATTCTTCAATAACTTTCGTCAAATTTATTTATGCAATAACATTTACTTAAATAGATTTTTTTATCAATATATTTATTTTTAGTGGCCGCTGTTTTTGGATTTTTTATTCCCAAAGGTCTACCGACATAACTTTGGACAATGTTTAACACTTTGACTCGAAATATTAATGTGATAAATCAACAGCAAGAAAAAATTTGTATTATATATATAAAATTTAATAATTTATTTTTTTATCAAGAAGATATTAAATAAATTATGTTTTTTTTTGTTGAATGTACAAAAAGTTTCAATTAAATGTATAAATTTTTATATACTCATGTTTTTTTAAAAATAATATATATATTTTAAAATACCAATAAATAAAATTTAAAAAAATTTAATCATTTTAAAGATTTTTCCAACAAAAAAATTGTAGATGTAGAAATTTTAAGAATTTATGAATGTAATTTTTTTTTTTTTAAATATTTTTATGGAACTAATTAATTTTTCTACAAAAAAAATTTGGAAAATTGATGAAGTATATTTGATGATTTCGATGTTACAAACAAATTATACGATAATTAATTTAGCAGATATTTGATAATTTTAAGAATTTTTGTAACAAATAAATTATAAAAAGAAAAAAAAATGACATGTAGAAATTTAAAAAAATCAAAAATGCAATTTTTTTAAAATAATTTTTTGGAAGAAATTTGTTTGTTAAAGAAACTTAAAAAATTGTCAAGTGACAGCTAAATTTAATGTCACAATTATCATATTTAGGGTGAGTTTACTGCCATGACTATTTTCTATTTAACCGCAAGAATTTTATAAAGCTTCCTGCCACTTGTAACAAGGTCACCATCGTCACCGTCAACAAATACACTAATATAATTTTTGTACTTGTATTATTATTATTATTATTGTAATAAAATGATAAACTATACATGTATACTATTACATATTAAGATACTTAGCTGTCAGCTGTCAATTTTAAAAATTTTTATAATAAAAAAATGCTTCTAATAATTTTGACTTGTAATTTTTAATGATATTCGCATGTGGAATTTTATAATTATATTTTTTTTTTTATAATAATTTAATTGCCATAAAATTGTAAAAAGATTTTTAATGTCTGTCAACTTCATTGTCATTACATATTAAACATAAATTATATGAAAATTAAGTTAGCCAACATCTGAAAATTTTTAGAATTTTATTTTTTATTGAAAAAATTATTACAAAAGAATAAAAAAAAAATATTTTTCAAAAACTGTAAGTGTAATTTTTTTAAAAATATTTTTTTGTTCTAATTTAATTATTAAAAAAATAAAAACGTCGGCTAATAATTTTAATATTATTGAAAATTAAGTTAGCTGACATCTAAAAATTTTTAGAATTTTTTTTATTGAAAAAATTATTACAAAAGAATAAAAAAAAAATTTGCATTTGATGAAAATGAAGTTAGCCGACATTTCAGAATTTTTAGAAATTTTTTATTGAAAAATTTTCAATTAAAAAATTAAAAAAAAAATTTCATATGTAAAAAACTTGAAAAGCTATCAGTGCAATTTTTTAAAAATATATTTTTAGTTATAATTTAATTAATAAAAAGAATCAAATATTTCTAAGAGTCTGCTAATTTCAGTGTCATTGCATTTGTAAAAAACTTTAAAAATTGTAAGTGTAATTTTAAAAAAATTAAAAAAACGTCGGTTACCTTTTATAATTTAATATTATTAAATTATCGGTTGCAGTAAATTTACATTATCAACAGTTACGTGTACAGAGTTTGATCGACAGCGCTGCGGCAGCAAAAGGAGTCACACACTATACAAACTATAACTATGAGGTCGCTTCAGCAAGTGAAATCGTGCAAGTGTTGTCTCATGATGTTGTCTTTTCAGTGTTAGTGGCAAATGGCTGCCGTACATACAAGACTATTAAATACCCCGAATCGTTAGTTAAATACTTAACAATCCGTCAATAATTACCTCAACAATTACTACTATGTGATCGAATAAGCTAAAAGTTATCAAAAAGTGCGTTGATAAATGATTATCAAGTAAAAAAAAGTTGAGCATCCCTTCCCCGGTGACAGTGGAAAGAAATGAGTATTGAGAAAATAAGCCCGGTGATGAAATCTGTGTCCGAGGGCGAGCTGGGTGTGGGAGAGGTTATACCAGAGAGTAAAAATCGCGATGCTAATTCCCAATTAAAGCGAACACTTACATTAACGAAAAATCAATTTCAAAACGCAACCAGGATGTCTCGTCGGAAGTTCAAGTTGCGTGATTCCAAGGACGGCTCCAATAATGTGACAAGTGCGCGGGAAAATACCCGGAATAATACTTCTATCCAGGTAGAGATTAACAGTCAGATTAAAATAACAGATGGTAATTTCAATTATCCGGATAGACATCATCACACCAACAAGAAGATATTCCGTCCGCCTTCTTTGAAGAAAATAATCAATAAGATGGTCCAGCGTATGTCTAATGTCGGTGTGCAGAATCACAAAGTTCCCAGGCACGACGAGTTCAAGTCCAGTGTCAACGATATTCGTGTTCCACCTCCTAGACCGGCCCATATTCCCCCGGATCGTGTTCCTGGAGTGATTGGCCTCAGGAATCATGGTAACACGTGCTTCATGAATGCTGTACTCCAGTGTCTCTCCCACACTGACATCCTCGCTGAGTATTTCGTCCTGGACCAGTACAAGGAAGACCTGTCGAGAAGAAATAAGCTAAACTCGAAGAAATATGGCACCAAGGGCGAAATCACCGAGCAATTAGCGCTACTCTTAAAGGCAATATGGAGCTGTCAATACGATCCTGAAATGAGCACTGCTTTCAAGAGTGTTGTTGATAAATATGGTAGTCAGTACCGAGGCAATTTGCAGCATGACGCTCAGGAATTTCTTCTTTGGCTACTGGATAAAGTTCACGAGGACCTCAATCAGGCTACTAAGAAGAAATACAAGATTATTAAGGTATTTTATTTTTTTTAATAATAATTATTATTATTATTATTATTATTGTTGTTTTTGTTGTAGATATTTTAAATTAATCTGTTAAAGATTTAGGTATGATTAATTTTAAAATATCTTAACTTGGTAGTTTTAAATGACATTAAAGTTAGCTGATTAATTTTTGATTTTGTTTAATAATTAAATTAATTCTGAAAAGTTATTTTTAAAAAAATTGTATTTTTTATTTTTTAAAATTTCTACATGGCAATTTTTTTTTCTCATTTTTTTTGCCGTAATTTATTTTGTTAACAAGTTCTAAAAATTATTAAATAGTAGCTAGAAAAATCCAGATTATACTGCGTAATATCTGAATTTTTCAGGAGAAGCAAAAAACATTTTTCTAGGTTAAGTTTGCATTAACATCATGAACCGATGAACAATAATATAATAATAATGTTAGCATCCCTAAAAAAAATCCGAGCATGAAAAAATTTTATTGTTTGTTAATTACTACTATCAATAATAATAATTTAAAGTTGATTGACTTATAGGGTTTCTCACCAAAACAAACAAAATAGTAATAAAATCATTTATTATATTTATATAATAAAGTATAAAATATGTATTGGAACTACAATTAATGAAAATTATGATAAATCATCTATTTTTAACTTCAAATTAGTGAACTGAGAATCAACAATAAAACAACATTTTAATTTATCACAATTTAACTTTATGAAATTAAAATTGTAAAAATTATTGAAATCAAAGTATTTAACAGTAAATATATTTTTATTTGGTTATCATTAATTTTAGAATTTTAATCAGTTAAATCAGAGTCAACAATAAAACAATATATTTTTAAATTTAATTCATCAAGTCAGTATTGTAAAACTCTTTAAAATTTTTAATTAATTTTGAATTAATTCAAGTAAATTTAGTTTCTAATTATCTAATAATCAATAACTTCAAATTAGTGAACTGAGAATCAACAATAAAACAACATTTTAATTTATCACAATTTAACTTTATGAAATTAAAATTGTAAAAATTATTGAAATCAAAGTATTTAACAGTAAATATATTTTTATTTGGTTATCATTAATTTTAGAATTTTAATCAGTTAAATCAGAGTCAACAATAAAACAATATATTTTTAAATTTAATTCATCAAGTCAGTATTGTAAAACTCTTTAAAATTTTTAATTAATTTTGAATTAATTCAAGTAAATTTAGTTTCTAATTATCTAATAATCAATCATTTTAAAATTTAAGTCAGTGAAATCATATCAAACAATAAAACAATAATTTAATTTAGTTTTTTTAAACCCATACTGGGAAAATTATTAAAATTTAAGTATTTTGCATTGAGCTGAATTTTTCTACTCAGAAGAAGTTTTTTTTAAAATAAATTTATTTTTGGAATATCTAAATTAAATGCTTATTCGAAAAACCCCATAAGTCACTGACTTATAGGTTTTTTTTTTATTTTAAAAAAATTCCTTTTTTTATTTTTTTAAATTTCTAAATGTCAATTTTTTTTGCCATGATTTATTTTTGTTATAAAATTTTTAATATTATAAATATGTGCTACACTATTTTTCATAGCTACTATCTGAAATTTATTTTTACTCAGTATAATCTGGGATAATATCCAGTGTCATCTTGTTTTTTCCGTCTAGGCAATACACAGATTTTTGTGTTTGTGTAATTTAATGCCAGGCTACGTTGATTGTTTTTGTTAAACGAATATTACGATAACAAATGACGTAATAGTGTGGAGGACTGAGGAGAATGACTGCATTTGTAGAATGAATCATCATGGCTCAACTTAAGTGTCGCTCAAGTCAAAATACATTGTAATATGAGCGTAAATTATTTATTCTGACGGCTTGTATTTATTATTTTTTTTCTGGCGTGTTTGTGGGGATAGGTTTCAATTCAACAATGAATGAGTTGGAAATTATAATATTGCATTATGGAAAAATATTTTTTAATTATTTCAAATAATATTTACGCGATTTTTTTGGTAGATATTTTTAATTGAAAAAATTAATTTTAATATTTTTGTTTTTAACTTATAAATAAAACAAAATTCTGAACAATTTTTATCCTCAATAAAAAAAAATGTTTACTAAATTGTTTTTAATTAAAAATAAATTCATTCATTGTCTGGTTTTTTGCAGAGGATAATTTGACCTACAATTATTTTCTCTAACAATATGTAATTTGTTCAAAGGAAAAAATTTCCTGTCTATTATTTTTGTTATTATTTATTTTTACGATCAGAAGACTAATACGACAGCGATTAGCTATTATTAGAAGTAATTATGCAAGTTAATAACTGTCATTACTGACAACAAATCATTTTAAAGTTCAAAGATTTTTTTTTTCTATTTACCACTTTTTTTTTTTTAATTAAATACAAAAAATTTATTATAAAATTTTTCTTTAAATTTAACTTAAAATTTTTTAATTTTTATTTTAAATTAATTAATTAACCATTTAACAAAAAAATATGATTAATTAAACCAATTCTGTTAATGTGTTTAAAATAATGATTAATTCAAATAATTTCTAATTAAATTTTAAAGTTAAAAGATTTTTTTATTATTTTTCATTTTTAATAGAAAAAAAATATTATAAAACTTCCAACTTTTCAATTGTTTATTTATTTAAATTTAAAATAAAAAATAAACCATATATTTAAAAATTTTTTTAAATCCAGATGGCTAAATATTTATTCTTATTGTTAATTTATCGCTTAGGAAACAAACAGGCCTTTTTACCTCTAACTACAATAATAAATTTTTATTTAACAAATAACACTCAAAGGTTTAGTGTTTAAACACTCAAGCGATTAGCTGCAATGAATAATAATCACGACCCGGAATTTTAAGAAAACTCGGTCAGGGTCATTATACTTTCTGTTTTTTTTTTTTTTTTTTTTTTTTTGTTTATGTCCTTCCTATCATATCAAACTATGTTTATATATTTTTTTTAAAAAGCTCAGTATTTAGGATTAATATTATAATTTATGCTAGTAAGCGGTAAATTAATGTCTAAATTATCGGAGCTTAGAACCTGATAGGTGTTTCGTTATCATTATCAATAAATCTATTTTTAGATCAAACACCACTCGGGAGTTTAGTCGAGTGTTGGCTGTTATTTCTTTTTTACAATAAATGTGTAGTATTATAGTAAGTGATGAGAATAAAGTGAGGAAGGGACCCGTAACCTTGGAGCGCGCGATTCACCGGAGCCAATCAACAAGTTCCTCGTGTTCTCCAAACCGATGTTCTGTTATTTCATGTCGTCACACATTTATTGTACTGTTATATTATTTAAATTTAACTCTATTTTCACTATTATTAACCGTAATTACCTAAATATATAACCATTTTTTAAAGAAGAAAAATAAACTAATTATTGTCCATGAAAAGTCAAAATTATATCTTGTTTTTAAAATAAATTTATTATACGTGTAATAAAACTACCGTTAAAAACCCACTTACCGATTTATATATTTATAAAATTGTTCAATTTATCTGAAACAAAAATAAATTTAAAGTGTTAGGATAAAAAATTTATGTTGAAAAATAAAATTATTTTAAATACAATGACCATCTGTTTAAAAGAGTAGACAATATGTTTGAAAAGAATGTCAATATGTTTACTTGATAAATATGAGTTGAGAAATCTGATACACACAACATTTAGTCTGATTATAATGCGTGTGATGTAGTATATAGCCTTCGAGGTAGGTTGCGCATACGATGCCACAAGTGTCTCGTCGGATCAATTATCTCCTGTTCATCAAACTTGATACTGCCTGTTTAGTTAGGTCTAATCATATATTTGTCATGTATTTATATATTTATGAATAATTATTCAACATTTATTCTGTAAATTCTGTCTGTTTTGACAAAATTTTCATTTTTAAAAACAACACTGTCTAAAAGTTAAAATTTATAATGTAAATAGATACGTTCAAGTTCGAGTACTAAACTAGTACTGAAATCAGCAAATTTGAACATTTTGATTTTTTTTTTAAATAAATTAGAAAAATAAATCTTCAATGTGGAGTTTTTAAAAATTTTCTTTTTTATAGTAATTAAGTTACTTAAAAAAAATAAGCTAAAAATTATCAAATGCCTGTTGAAGAGATTCTATCTAGTGAAGTAAATATTAATGTAACAATTGAAAAAAAAAAAAAAAAAAAAAAATTAACTTGAATCCAGAAAATAATTGGTAAATATTTACAAGTGGGGCCCATCATTTTTATTTTTATTTTTTTGAACGAAATTTCTATTTGATTTTATTGATATATTTTTTTTTTTTAATATATAAAAAAGTGAACAATTAAAAAAAAAAGTTAATTATCACAAGTTTAACAAATTTTTATAACATTTTCTCTTTTAATTGTTCGTTTTTTTTAAGTACTTTTCAAAAAAAAAATAAAATAGAAATTTTATCAATAAACATGAGAGCCAAAATTTTTTCCAATTTTTGAAGGCAAAAAAGCTGTCGAAATCTTTATTTTTTTCTTACACGACATTTTTTATCATAAATAAAAAATGTTAATTTTTCACTTAGTTATAACCCAAAATGAAGTTGACCCACTTGTAAATAATTACCAAATAATTTTAAAGAATTTTATATTCTTCATTTAAGTAGAAAAATTATTAAACTAAGAAATTTTTCTTCTTTTAAGTAAATTTTCCTTTTTTTATCTTGATTCAAGTTAATTTTTTTTTTCAGTGTAAAATCTGCCAAAAACATTAAACTTGAACGGTGACAATAGCTGCGTTAAAATTTACTACTTTTAACCTAATGACCTTCCTTCGCTTCATTGTATCTAATGTTACCCTATGAATATTCTCAGGTGTAAATATAGTTATATATACATATTAACAAGATTTAAGATTCCCATAAAGTTTATAAACATGATGTATTAGTAAACTTGAACGCAGCCAATTTCTTCCATTTCTTTATTTCTTCATAGTATGAATCGTACAATAATACAGTACAGTTAAGTACTGTAATAAAAAGAACAATAAAAAATTCTAAAAGCACTTTCTCCAATGTTAGTGTAGCTGAGTTGTAAGACGTGAAATTTTCACGGACTGTGCGCTCAGCATTAATTAATGCTTGCATTTGCTGGATATCAGATAGTTCGGTATAAGCATTGGGTTTTATACCCTAATATAATAATATTATAATGCAAGATATAATAATAGTATATTATCAGAGCTGCTGAAAACGCAAAATTTAGATAAAATACTATACACTGAGCTTGCTCAGTATTTAATTTTTTTATTTTTATTTTTATTTTTATTTATAATGCCAACTACTAGTCATCAAGCATTGTCTCGCCTAACGATAAGATACCAGACATTCATTTGGTATTTATATAATGAGGACGTTTGATATTCATTGTCATTATTGCAGGCTTTTTTTTTTTTATTAATTAGACCTATAACGGAGGTTATTTCGAGATGCTTCAATTCAGATATAGTGCAGTACTTATAGTATGAGCATGATCATAATTTCTTCAAGGTTTCTATGTATTAAGTTTAATCAGCAGAAGTTATAAAAATAAAAAAAACTTTTGAAGAAATGATAAAGCTGAAGTTCAGAAATTTTAATGGTATTTATTCTTGTGAAGAAAATTTATAAATTAATCTTCAGTTAATGGTGTAATTAAATATATAAAAAAAAAAGTCGCTTTAAAAAAGATTTAATATTATAAAATCATTTGTAATTAAATTTTACTTTTTAAGTTATTATTCATGTGAGAGTTTAAAATTTCATCGAGGTCAATTTCATTTTCGTCTTCATGAATTTACTAGGTCAATTTCATTCCGAACAAGTTAACAGTAATTTATTAATGTTAATTAGTTAAATTAAACCCTAAATATTACTTCATTAAATCATTTACTTTCAATGTCAATCTCTGTATTAGAATATTTTTATCCTAGTGACATTATTTTTTCTTCAATGTAACAATTTTGAATTTTACGTGAGTTGTAGCAATAACAGAAATAATGTTTTTTGTACCTCTTATCTTGAATCTTGCGCATTCATGAAACCTGCACCGGAATAGTAACGATAAAAAGTCGGAAAAATAGGTTGTATAAACTTATATAAACTGAGAGCTAGTAAAAGTGGTAGAATAAGAACCTCGCCGGAGGTCTTTGGCACGCTTACAGTAAAAAATTCAATTATTAACCGTTTTCTGACGTTTTTTTAGCACATTTTAGGTTTGATTAACCTCACTGTCATGCTGCAGGTCATGTCATAACCTTTATAAATGCTCCGTTTTACTGACAAAATAGATGTTTTTGGAAAATCTCTGTTTTTTATACATATTACTGCTGAATAATTATTGACTATTAAATATGTCTTCACGAAATCTATATTAACAAATGAAGAGAAGATTCTTAGACATGCCTAATCGAAAAAAACTATTTAACCAATGGACATTTAATTATTATCATAAAATGTATAGTTTCCCAGTTAATATTTTAAATTGATAATATTATGTCGATATTTTGTTAGTTGAGAACTTAATAAGTTTTCATTATAATCTGTATCTTGATTTAGTTAAGCAAATAAAACATAATAATTAGATTATAGATTGACTAATTCGATATATTTCAAGTTGAATTCGATCTTGATTACGTCTACAGAGATGACAATGTACAGAACTTAAGATCTTTTTTATTTTTCAAGACCAACTTATAAAGAATTTCGATAATGTTGACACTAATTATCCGAGTTAATAAAAAATTATAAACGCTTATAAACGTCTTTAACTACAGAATTGCGGATAAAGGATGATAAAAAGTTGAAAAATTTTTTTACTTAAACACAAAAAAATTCAAACTCAAGTCCAGCGAAGCAAGCAATTGACAGCTAGCAAAAAATAATTAAATTACAAGTCACTTAAAGTTTTAAGAAGCTGTATTAAAAATCTGAAAAGTAAATATTTGTTTTAAAAAAATTGAATTTTGTTGGAAACCACTGACTAAATTTAAAATAAATATTTTGTTTGTAGACAAAAATAAATGCAAATATTACGATGTTTATTTTTGATAAAGTGGTTCAATAACCACTTATTAATTTAGAGTAAATTAATTAAGAAAAAATGTCTTATTCCTGACATTAGACATCAATTTAGTAATATGCGATACCCTAAAATGAGAATGATTCAAGGACGTATCACATGACAATGACTCGATAACCGATTGTAATTAAATTAGAAGAAGCCCACTAGTACTGCAGCCCATCACACGGCTCTTCACATGCGTTCTAGACTCTCAAGAGAAAAGTCGATAATTCGGTGTTGTCATAGTATTACTTGCTCTATATGCTCGACAAAACATTGTATGCTACATAACAGCATCTCTTGCAATGAATTAGCGCTCTAAAAATTGAATAATCTCTATGGTTAAAATATAATTAACAATTAATAATTATACATAACAAACGTTGATTACAAAGTTGACAAAATTTTTATATGATTAAAAATTAATTAATAGAATATAAAGGTCTATTAGTGTCAGAATATGTAATTACGTTTCAATTAAACGCTGATTCAGTTGTTGCGTAAGTGAATTTTTTCCTTCCGTTTCCGTATCTAGTTAAACCTTGAAATAGTTTCACATTATTGTAATTGTAATTGTCTTGTGGGTGTGTAGCAGAACGACCGGAATATTACAATAGTACGCGTGACAAATATTTGTCTGTCAGACGGCACATTTACGATGACACGGAAGTCTATGTAAATTGTGTCTATGTATATAGGTACAGATAAAAAAAAAATACAAATGATCTCTGAAACAATAGAGTTGATAAATCGGTAACATGTTGAGGTTTATGCCGGCACTACTCACGTCAGCCGGATACAAAAAATAAATATAGATTCTCGGGATATAAAGATAACAACTGAGCTGAATGGATGAGGGGAAGATTACCGGGTGCATTTTTACAGAAAGTTTTTGTTTTAAAAGATAATACACTTAATTATTGAGAAATCTTTTCACTTTTCACTTTTAAATATTTTGCTAATTAATCACCGGTAAAATCTAGCGCCGATAAAGATTTTTATGTCTGACATTTAATTATAAAAATTTTGTTTTTAAATACGCTTTTGTTAGCTTGACCTGTATTTATTTATCTATCTATCTATTTACATAACAGAATCTTTAAACGTAATTTTTGCCGACTTTATATTAACACTTGCCGTCTGATTAATTTTATTAAATTTTAATAAATTTATTCTGGTATTCTGATGAGGATCGTTAGGATAAAAAAAAATAATTTCAGGGTTTTTTTTTTAAACAAATAAATAAATAAGTAAGGTAAAAGACCTAGTTATTGATACTTGCAATTTTATTTTAATTAAAAAAAAATAAATCAACTCTAATAAATTAATAAATATAATTTTTGATTTATAAATTTCAAGATAATTTTTTTTTTATTAGAATAAAATTGCAAGTGTCAAACAACTAGGCCGGTGTCAATAACTGGGTCTTTTACCATATTAAGGAAATATTTAAAAAAAAATTTCTCATTTATGTCATTGTAAAAAAATGTACAGTGCTTTTTAAGATATTTTTATAATAACTTTATTTTTTACAAGTATCTACTAACACAGTAAAAAATTTTACGTCAAAAAACTTAGTGTTAAAAATTTTTGTTTTAAATATTTAATACTTTTTATGTATAAATTTAACATTTATTCTGTTAAATCAATACGAAAAAGTGTAAAATATTTATGAAAATTAAGTGAGCCGACATTTAAAAATTTTTAGAATTTTTTTTTTATTGAAAAAATGATTACAAAAAAATTAAAAAAAAATTTTCGCTTGTAAAAAACTTTAAAAACTGTAAGTGCAATTTTAAAAAAATATTTTTTAGTTATGAAACAAAATCAAAAAATTAAAAATGCCGGCTAACTTTATTATTATTAAATATTTAACATACAAATTTTTTGACCCAATCTCGAAAAATTTTTTACTGTGAATGAAATATTTGCAATTGATATCAAGCACCCAAAATATGTTTTACATTAAAAATAATTTTTTTTTAATAACTCTATTATTATTTTAATCTTTTTGGAAATGATTCAAAACCATTTTAATTTTTTTTTTTAACAATTAAACAATGTTATTTAATTTTCTAAACTATTTATTTATGATTAAAAGATCAAAAATAATATTTTAATGATTCAAGCGGTAATACTCTGAATTGTTAAAATCTTTGACTTTTTATTTGTAAATATTTTGTTAATAAATCCACGGTAAAATTAAGCGCTGATAAAGATTTTAATGTCTGTGATAAAAATTTTTTTTATAAATATGTTCTGATATACGGTAAAATCTTAAAATTATCAGTATTGTTATTGATTAAAATTTTTCATGCATTATCGCATTGCACTAAATGATTTCTACTTTAAATTATATAACTTATCGATAGATTCTATCGAAGTTCATTATATAATTATTTATTTTTGAAAAACTTATAATAAAATAAATTGTTTCAGAATTCCTTTGGTCGACCAGATGAGCAAGTAGCTTACGAGACGCTAGCAAACCATGAAAGGTGCAATCACTCGTTTGTCCATGCAATATTCCAGGCGCAATTTCGTTCAAGTCTAACATGCCCAAGTTGTCGCCGACAATCCAATACATTCGACCCTTTTCTTTGCGTCTCAGTCCCAGTTCCTCAGCAACACCGTCAAATAAATTTGTACGTCAATGTTTTGTACACTTCGCAACAGCCTCGGCAAGTTAGAATCGGGGTCAGTGCTAATCAAATGGCGAATGTTAAAGAGCTGAGGGAGATCCTAGCTAGTGATACCGGCATTGACGAGAGCCACATGCTGCTTACTGAAGTCCACGATGAAGGCTTCCATCGGTAAATTATCATCCATTTATATTCTATTCAATTTTTATTTGCTATCAAGTTATTTTATTTTTATAGAATTTCAATTGCTGTTTGTGCAAAAATAATAATAATAACAATAGTTATCTATATTATTAAGAGAATGAGAAAAATTTTGTCTCCAGGATAGTCACATGATAAAATTTGTTTTTTTTTTTTTAGTAAAATTTAGTGCCATTACAAAGGTCTTGACTTGAATTTGTTCCTTTTTAAGGTTTAATATAATTTTCACTGATAGTCAAGTTATTACGATAATTATTTAGGCTGCATTCAAAAATGCTCTATCTCTAAATACATAATTAAGAAAATACCTTGTACCTTGTGAACTATTGACATTTTTAAAGATATAAGCTCACCTCGACATTACACTCATCGAGACTTTTCATTATGAGTACCCACATAAATTTTTCATATATTTTATATATTTATATATTTCACAAATACCATATATATAAAATATATAAAAAATGCCATGTGGGTACTTAAATGAAAGGTCTCAATTAGTGTAACATCAAAATAAGTTTATATCTTAAAAAATGTCAATAATCAAGAAATTACATTGTATTTTGTCAACTAATGATATTTTTAAAGATATAAACTCACCCCGACATCACACTTATTGAGACCTTTCATTTGAGTACCCACATCAATTTTTCATATATTTATATATATTATATATATGTATATATGAAAAATATATCAAAATGCATGTGGGTACTCAAATGAAAGCTCTTGATGTGTGTAACATCAGGATGAACTTATATCTTTAAAAACTTCAATAGTTATCATATTACAGTGCAACTTAACAAAAATCATTATTTAACCCTTTAGAGTCAGAGGATCTTGAAACGTCTTTGCGTGAGAGTAGTGCGGAGAGCGCAAATCCATAGTAAGATCCAAGAGTGGGGTTTCAAGGTCAGACTCTAAAGGGTTAATAAAGCAAAATTTTATTTATTTATATTTCACAAGTCACGGAAGTCACATAGTGACTGCAAGGTTGCTAGTTATTATTATTATTATTAAATTATTTGAATTTCTTTTTCCAGAACTTTTTCCGACTGCCAGCCGCTGTCAGTAATAACTGAGAACGACCCTTTATATTGCATAGAGCTGCCACAGTTAAAAGAGCCAACCGAGCAAGCATACATCCTGCTGGTCTGGGTGAATGTCCTAGTGAAAGGTGACCTGAAAGAGCGCTTTGGAAGCCCTTATACAATGCAAGTATCCCGCGAAACCTCCTACGAAGACTTACAGAAGCTTCTTTTAAAAGAAATGCACACTCTGCTCACCGACGACGTGCTAACTTCAAGCCAGAGTTCCGGACTGTTCAACATCCGTGTAGCAGATCCAGCAGCGACTCCAGTCCAAGACGAGCATCCTTGCATAGATCCCTGTGTAGAACACCCTCTCTACACGGAGCAAATCGAGCAAGCCTTGGCCCTCTGTGCTGATGACTCTGGTCCCCAACACGTAAAGCTGATCCTCGAGTGGGATGAAGCTACCAAAGTCAGTATAATTAACGACGACACAGATCAGATTGAAGAACACGCGAGTGTTAAACAGCTTAAAACTACTGCGGAGCTCGGAGGAGCTGTTACTCTAGAAGAGTGCTTTGAGTTGTACACTCGCGAGGAAATTCTAGGCGCTGAGGATGCTTGGCATTGTCCTTCTTGCAATAAGAAGCAGGAAGTTGTCAAAAAACTCGGACTTTGGTCTCTTCCTGATATACTGGTGATTCATCTCAAGCGATTTCGTCAGCAAGGGAAACAACAGTCGACTTCCAAGTTGACAATGTTGGTAGACTTTCCTTTATTTGGCTTCGATATGACTCCACACTTAGCGCACGGTGGCATCCAGAACCACACCAACAACGCAACTCTGGGAAGTCTAGGCTGGTCGCCGTGGAAAAAACCGCGAACGAGACAGCACAGTGCTCCGATAAAATATGAAGATAATGTATATGACCTCTACGCTATTTGCAATCATCACGGTCAAGATCTTCAAGGAGGTCATTACACCGCCTTTTGTAAGAACCCGTATGATAGTCAGTGGTACTGCTTTGATGACACCCGCGTAGAAGGTGTTACTGAGACTGGCCTGGTTACTAATTCGGCCTACATGTTGTTCTACCAACGGCGAAGTAGTAATTCAACGGGGAATTCCTCAGCTGCCTCGACGAGCTCCACTGGCTCCGGGCTAGACCACTGGGTCTCTAGAATGCCGCCTTTTAATTATAATAACAAGAACTCGGTTAACTTTTCTAATAATAAGCAAAGCAAGTCACAGGAGATTCTGTGTCAAGATAAGATTGTTGAAGAGAAAAATATTAATAACTTTAACAGAGGGTGTAGGAATTACGCTACTCTGCAGCCCCAGAAGAGAAATGTCGCGACGGAAACTGAAACTGGGGAGATTGATCACTATTCGGATGATGAAGCTCCTTTAAGGCGAGAATGGGTAAGTTTTTTTTTTTTAGTTAAACAATTTTGACAGTAAAATTAATAGTGCTGATCATTTAAACAAGATATAGTATACATCAATAAATTAATTTGTTGTCAAAAAAATACTTTTAAGAATTCGCTTGGTAATTTTTTTTATTTAATTATCTATATTATTAAGAGAATAAGAAAATTTTTGTTTTCAAGATAGTCATAAGATAAAATTGGTTTTTTTTAGTAAAATTTAGTGTCATTGCAAAGGTCTTGACTTTTCGAGGTTTCATTTTATTCTCACTAATAGTCAATTTATTATGATAGGTATTTAGGGTGCATTCGAAAATGCTCTATCTCTAGATACATAATTAAAAAATGACCATGTATCGTGTGAAATATTGACATTTTAAATGATATAAGCTCATCACGATGTTACACTCAAGACCTTTCATTTGAGTACCCACATCAATTTTTGATATATTTTTTATATATATATATATATATATATATATATATATATA